CCCTTTAAATTGCATTAGTTCCACTTCTAATTGTTCTGAGCAATGTAGCCTTCTGGAAATTACCAACAAAAGACATTTCCAAGTTGTACTGCTAAACTAGGTTTCCATTTGCTATTTCCATTTCATTAAAATCTCTTTTAAAGAATGAAGCAGGAAAATATGTTTAGGACTCTTAAATCATGAAGAATGGGAATGGGAGAAAGAGAAGACAGATACTCTTCTCTGGAAAAGCTCTGCACATTTCTCAATTATTTACAAGATTGAGAGTTGCAGTCCAAGATTATCTGAAGAATGCTAGATTGGGAAAGCTGTTTCTTGTTCCACAGGAAATAAATTCCTAGAAGTTGGAATGACTTGTCCAAGCACAATTAATTGGTGAGAAAAGTTTCAAAGGGAGGACTGTGGATGTGAATTGATTGTTCTCTTGTAATGCTGTGGGACTGAAAATTATCTGTCTTCCTTGACTTTATGATCTGCTGGCCTTTGTTTTTGCAAGACAAGTTCCCTAGCTAGATAAAATTTATTTTCAACTGGAGAATCATCATCTCAGAGCAAAAAAATGTTTACCAAATACTTTTAAAAACAAGGATGATTGAGAGAAACTTTGCTGGAACAAAAAAAGATTTGTTTTGCTCACTGTAGTCATGGATAGTTAGAATAATTTGAAGGTAAAGTTTTCAAAGTGAGCATGACTCCTAATGATTTCATGCACAAAACCATGTCGTTTTCTTGGTAACAGTATAATGAAAGTAATTTGCTACCGCCACCTTCTGGATTATTATTTTTAAAATTACTCAGTCTAGGGAGCCCTGCTATTGCCCCCATTACTAGCCATGTCTTGCCCTCCTTTTTTTTTAATCAGCTAGGAGGCAGCAGTAGCCACTAAAATGAAGGTCTTTATTTCTTTCTACCTGAGCAGATACTGAAAGCAGTTAACAAAATTTTAATAGGTTCTTATTTTGGACCCAGTGATGGATCCGTTCTAGTTAGTGTAAGCATGTTGGTTAGCAAATTTTTGAGTTGCATTTAATTAACTTTGAAAGCAAGATTACAGGTTAAAAATGATCTTTGTGCTGCTGAGAAAGTTATATTTTATCATTAAATAATTTACATTGCGGGCTAGCTCAGAGACTATATTTTTAAAAAGTTGTTTTTAGTATATACATTCTTTTATTATGGAACTCGAGCGCTCAGAATATATGGGCTATGTAGAGGGAAGCACTTTCCCATTGTAACAGCACCCTCTGGAGATCTGCGTGGCCCACACTTTGCCTGACTTCAGGCAATCTTTAAAAATCTGGTAGTTTCCCCGGGAATGGGGCTGTCTGGTTTGGATGGGTCCCTTTTTAATGGAGAGGGGTGAAGGGGAGGTATGTTGTATCTTTTGTGGTTTCCCTCCACATATCAGTGTATTGTTTGGGAGTATTTTATTGTGCTTTTAATTTGTGAAGGCACCCAGAGTCATTTGGGAGTTGGACACCCTAGAAATGAAATGAAATAATAAATAAATCAGCATTTCCAAGCTGTATTGGACCACAACTTCTTATCACTTGTAGTCAGCATATAAGGGGAATGTCAGGTTGGTGAAAGCTTCCCTTGTAGTTAGAGTAGTGATCATGGTGCAGGAAAACTGAGTTGAAATTAAAATATTTTAATTAGACTTGAACTCCTGGTGACTTCATGGAAGTGTCTGTGTAGTTTACTTTGCAACAGTATACAAGTGTTTTGCCATTGGTTTCTTCCATATTTTATTTAACTTCCCATGCTAGCCTACAGCTCTGGGACCTCCCAATCATCTGCCAGAGAAGTACTAACCTGCTTAGATCAGCCAAGGTTGACTAAATACCACCATCTAAGCAGTTTTATCAAAATGTTTTGAATATAGAGACATAGAACCATTGAATCCAATCTGCTACTCAGTGCAAGAATGTAAATTAAAGTCGCTCTTATAGACTGCTTCTGCTTATACATGTCCAATGAGGGAGGACTCATCACCTTCCTTTGTCATAGATTACACTGTGAAACTGTTCTTAGGAATCTGCTTTCCTCTGTTTTACGTCCATTATTCCATGTCCTACATTCTGACCACTTTTAGGAGATGGCATACTTCTTTTCAGACAAGGGAAAGGACATGCTCTATCACAGCAAATGCTTTGTTTCATTAACTATGGCAATAGGGGTAGCAGCTCTTTCGTTTTTTTTCTACTGCTTTTCTTAGGAAAAAAAAACCTTATGCTGACAGTGATGCCTTCCCCCTCCCTACCCCTGTTGCCCCCCAGAATGAATCTAGTGGCAGGCAGTCGGGGGTTATTGTCTGATATTCCCTTAGTTACTGTTTGGAAAATGGATAGAGGTCAGTGATAGAGTTCACCTCAATCTCAGCTTGCCAATTATTGCAGGTTCAATGTCCAACATCTTCAGGCAAGGCTGGAAAACAGCTTCAGTCAATCAATGGCTGGGTTCACATCTTACTCAATGCCATCGTTTGCTTGATGATCAACCACAAGTGGGGGCTTCACACATCATGATAAGCCAACAAAAAAAATAACATTATGACTTGCCATCAGAAGCTGATTCTTAGGAGGTAGGGCTGACAGAGCCAGACAGTTGCATATAAAACTGGCCGAGTGTTGTGAAATGGAAACTCCTTGTATATGAATACCTAAGAAATATATTTTTTAAAAGCTGATGTTTTCTCTTCTAGGTGCTCCGCTCTGCTGCTGACTGGTCTGCTGGTATTAAATACCATGAAGAATCGATCCATTCTGCTTATGTGAGCGTGATAGAAAACAGCAAGCACTACATCTATATAGAGGCAAGTAGTTGCCATGTATGGAGACCTGACTCAGTTTAGCAAAAGTAGCAGGAGGCTATTTTTATAGTTATCATATAGGTTGAAATTGTTCAGTGCCATAAATGAAGTGCTGCTTTTCTATACATTTACATAAGTAGGAGTATTTTTGTGATTAGAGGTGGCTGCCTTAGAAGGCAGGTGGGTAATCCCCTGGAGTTGGATGGAATCCTTGGGCCACTTATCCATCACATATCTGTCTGTTGTCTTCTGCAGAAACCAGGCAAACAGTACCATAAATGAGGCTTTCCCAATCTGGTTGTCCTCCAGAGTGTGGACTTCAGTTCCCAGTATTCTCAGTAATAGTCACACTAGCTGAGGAATCCTGGGAGTTGAAATCCACATAACTGGAAGGTATGCAATTTGGGGAAGGCTGCCATAAATTTACCCCAGCCTGTGCTTTTATTGTGTAATTTTGCCTATTTATTGCCTTCTGTGTTGAAATGGTGGGCCTTGAAAGTGCAGGATGAGTCACAATTCATTATTTCCTTCATGCATGCAGAAATGTCAACACTCTATCATCAGTGTACATTATCAGTGCATTACTATTAAGAAACTTGTTCATCATATGTTAAACTTTTTGTGTTTGATGTGAAGCATCAGATAGGTCAGTTTTTGGAGTAAAATCTAAAGATACCCAAAGTCTTGTTAAATATCAATGAGAAGCATAAATTAAACATTCCTAAGTATGGAGCTCCAATAATTTCTGTGGGATTTGTTTCTCTTATTCTATATTAATGGATTGATTTACAAAATTTATAATCTGGCCCAATCTGCAAAGACTTTGGGTGGCTAACAAAGAAACCAACATTATGACCAAAACAATATACATAATCAAGAAAAGTAAATAATTATGTAAATGAAAATCACTGTGATGGCAATCCAGAATCAACCAGAATCAAAGGCCACTGGAACAATGTAGATTTTTATTTTTTAAAATTCACAAACAGTGTGAGAAGAATATTGCAGAGAGTGGTGTCTGTCACTGAGAAGACCTGTTGCCTTGTCTATGCCCCGTGCAGCTCTTGAGAAGGAAATTTTCTTTCCTCCAAGAATTGTGGAAACATTAATCTGTCTGCTAAGTAACTCTTCTGCATGGCTGAGGATTCTGGGATTCACTCCAAGGTGCACTCTTTGGTTAAATAGTAGGCCAGCCAGAGCTGTTAGGCTTTCCACAACCTGGTACTCTTCAGAAATGTTGGGAATATAACCCCCGAATTTTCAAGCAGCATGGCCAACAGGAATTCTGGAGGTGGTCTCCCAATGCACCTAGAGCACAGCAGGTTGGAGGGCTAGTCCATGTAAGCAGAATGCACTGGAATTATGCTCAGTGCTTTCCTAAGGCTAAGGTAGTAACTGAAAGCGAAGGTTGTTCATTATAGATTCCACTTTTAGAAAAGCTGATCTGCTCTGACTTCTTCTCATCAGACTTCACAAAATAATCATGCAAATAATCGCAAAGCTCCTACTTTAGTAACAGTTGCCTTACCAAATATTGTACATTAGAGAACTTGCAATAGCTCAGTTTTATTAATAGCACAAATATTTGCAACTCCTTTCTGTTTTCTTTTCCTACCCTGTAGAACCAGTTTTTTATTAGCTGCGCCGATGACAAAGTTGTGTCGAACCGAGTCGGTGATGCCATTGCACGCAGAATTCTCAAAGCCCATAGGTAATCTGGTTTTTGCAACTATTTTTACAATGGGAAAATATGCTTTCTAATTAATGCTGGGATGATTACTTCATCTTAGACTTTTCTAGCAATCTAGGGGAGGCAAAAGAAGCCCCCAAAGACAGATAATTTTAAAGATTGGCAGATTTTACAAAACTTGCTGGAACGAGAGGGGTTTGCAATCAAAGGTGAGATAATCTTGTTTTTCTTTTTTCTGAAAAACAAAAATAAGCTTTACTGTAACTTCAAGCAGTCACTTAATAGTCCTCAATACAAGACTGATATTCTTTTGTGCTTTAGATATCATGACACCACATTGCTCTAAGGCACTGTTCCTCAACCTTGGGAACTTTAAGAGGAGCTGGCTAGGGAATTCTGGGAGTTGAAGTCCACACCTCTTAAGGTTCCCAAGGTTGAGGAACACTGCTCTAAGGGACATTTAGGAGAAAAATATTGCTCCCTTTTGCAGTGATGGGAGAGGAGAGGTCACGTTCAGCCGGACTGTTATTACAATCTAATTTCTAACCCTGTTCTTGAAATGAATCAAGCAATAAATGAACGTCAGTGGTGCACGGCCAAAGTGGTTACTGTGTAGATTTCTGTCTTTGTGTATGTGTCTTTATCTCAAGGTTGCTGCAGTTTTTCAATGACATGGGCCCATTGTCCAAGGCAGATTTGTCACATCCACTCTGTAAGTCTGGATTTATAGGCAGAATATAGCCTGTGAAGCCCATGTGCCAAATAGTGCATTGCACCTGCTGACTTTGATGTTGCCAGATATTGTCATTGTTTTCCTCTGTTGAAATGCTTGAGGAGCACCGTGATTTTCTTTTCTTTTCTTTTCTTTTTTTTGGCACTTCTCTTTGCTTCATAATTTAAGCCAGTGGTGTGTGAAATGTTGGTGGTTCCTGAATGGAAAGTGGCTGTCTTTGAAGTAAACAGAATAAAAACTCTTGGCACAGTGGTGTATTCTAACGATGGATTGGAAGATCATTGTATCATTGCTTGGCCTGAGTGATAAAGGACATTTACAGTTGTCTGGCATTTCTAAAAGGAAGGCTTGTATTTCAAGGAGCGCAGTCATTAACCGTTGACTGCTTTTGTGTAAAATGAGAGACGGATACGTAGCTGTGGATTGTCTCTGAACCGTGAGACTGTTAAGGAGCTTTGGATTTAGCGGCTTCCTTGTATAACCTTTTCAGCTCCTTCCAAGACTGGCTCGATCTCTGCTTTTTGAACATCCTTTTGGTGCTCCTCCTTTTTTCTGCTTTTCTTCCTTTCGCTTACTTTATGATGGTGCCTTTAGCAAGTGTGTGCGTATATCATTTTCTGAAGTCCTTAAGGCCCCAACCAGGATATAAATAAATTACCGACAGCACAATTCTTTAAATCACAAACAGGATATAAGTGAATTATTTACATCTGGTCAGGAGCAAGCCTTCCTAAATTCAGGAAGATTTGCTTGGAGGTATGTGTGGCTAAGCTGGCATTTTCATCACATGCAGCCATATTTTGCAGTCAGTTTTCACAAGGTTTTTTTTTTTTTAATTATTCCAACTATGAGAACAAAAGATGCCCTGTCTGACTCAGGCTGAAGTCATATCTGGTCCAGGAACCTTTTTTCTCACAGTGGCCACAAGTTCCTTCTAGGAAGACCACAAAAATAAAACCCTCTCACATTGGTTATGCTGACTATATGTTTGAAACCCCTAGGACATTGCAGACACATATTCCAATCCTAGCAATCAGCTGATCCTGTCACTGTGGTTTTCTGTCACACTTGCCCCTCTCCTTCCATTACTGCAGTTTGTTCATTTTATTTCTTTGCACTATTTTCAGCCATGACAGATTCTGAAAAAGGAAGTGTGCTTCATCCCAGACCTGTGGTTATTAGAGGGGATGCCCGACTCACCCTCATCTTCAGGGGCATTGGCAGGGCAGGAGAAGAAGAGTTCAAAATGCAGGATTGTCCTGCCAGGAGGTTTTCAGGTGTCTTTCTTTAACTGTTGGGGTAGGGAATAAAGGAATTTTTTGTTTTGTTTTGATCCCAAACTGACAGGGCTGTTCTAGGCCAATAGCTGGATACTGATTATCTGTGAAAGCTCTGCTATAATGACTGTTGGTCCTCAGCAAACCCTGCAGACTCACAGAAGAGAAGTGCCTGTGACATCCTATTATTAAAACATTGAACACAGTCTACTTCGGCTCTGTTTGATTTCGGTTCTGACATCAAAAGACTTGGGCAACAGAACAGCTGCTTTCTGGAAGTGCCCACACAATCTTAGAATTGAAAGGAGCCTTTTAGGCCAACGAGTCCAACCTCCTGCTCAGTGTAAGAATCCAAATTAAAGATCCCCAGTAGTTCATAGCCTCTGCATGAACATATCCAGCCAGGGGGAGCTTACCAGCTCAGAGCTGATTAATTTATTGTATTTGACCCAGGTATTTCACACTGCTTTGCCACACACACCATCCATAAATATAAGCATATAATCTAAAACATCCATCTTCAACATGGTACCTTTAGACGTGTTAGACTACAAAGGTCATACCAGCTAAGACTTGTAGGAGTTGAAATCCAGGGTATCTAGACATTGGGAAGGTTGCATTAAATTATTTGTTTAATGTTTAATTTTTACAGTGAGTTAGGACAAATAGAAGTAGAGCCCAGGTGTTGCTGAACTTCAGTTCCCAACAGCTCAGCATGTCCAGTAATGAACAGATGCTCAAAGTTGTATTTCAGCCACATCTGGAGGGTCCCAACTCCTGATATGAAGAAAAAAAAAACCCTGTCTTGTAGAACATTTGGTTAGAGGATTGAAACCCATAGTGAAGCATTTCTCAATTTGGTGCCTTTTTGATGCATTGATGCAATAACTCTGAGTTCCCGGTTAATATCCATGCTGGCTTGGAATTCTGGGAGTTACACCAAATCAACTGCATATTCCCAGGTTGGGAAAAGCTATTTTAATGAACTTTAGGCCGTGATGGCTTGTAATGGTCTCATGGCTGCTATTTTTCTTTCTTTGCTGCTGCTGCTGGGTTTTTGCCTTTCTTTTTGGCAGTCTGATTTTTATTCAAGTAAGAGGAATAAGAAAAATGGCTGAAGATGGACATGATGTATGTCTGATATATTTCATAACAGTGTATATGAAGGCGTTTCATATGAATGACCTTTTATTTACATCCTCCTGCTGAATTCATTCTACAGTGGTAGTAAGTTTTTGTTAGTATGTTTACCACGGTAATGTTTATGCTTCTGTAGTTGGGTAAAGCATAAGGTGAGTGGGTGGTCAACACTGTACTTCTATGTTCTTCTCCCAATCCTTCCCCACTGAAGTTGTTCTTAGCTCCATAGTGGAAAATAGCAGGCAAATCCCCACCCTCATCCCCACTCCCCTGTCCTGATGAATACCAGCAAGTGCATTTAAGATTAGGAAAAGAGGCTGGAGCCCTAGCAAACTGGAGAGAGGCCACTATCACTTATTGAGATGGGCGACAACACAAATTGATTGATTACATACATACATACTTTGGCTGTGTTCATATAGCATATGTAACCAGCCCAGTTAAAAGCCTAGCAGCTGCATATGTACAGCATGTTCAATTTGATTAAAGTTAAACTTGGTTTGTTTTTTTACAGCTAGCTTAGCATGTTGTGTGAACCCACCCCATTGGGTCAGCTTATGTTTCAGTGTATCATGCAAAGGCAAAAAATGGGCTAATTTAGTAACCCAGTTAAACATGTTCTGTTATCAGCGCCTTTTTCTGTAGGGGCTGAAGTGCTAGCATCCTCAGATAATTGTTTCAACCTTTTCATGTACCATTGATCCGATATCTGAAGCTCGCCTCTTTCTTGCGGCTGGCTGAAAGCTTTCCAAAGATCCACAGTTCTTGTTAGCAGAAGAAATTATGCAAATGCAAGTGCATTTACATAATTCTAAATGCAGCCTTGGGTTTCCATGGTGCAGAATATAGCACTTTTTTAAAAAGATAGCTAGAGAGACAGAATATGCTTTCCTGGGTGTAATTGTGATTCAGGTAGTGGCCTAGGCACTGCAACAGACTGTATTCCTATCAAAACAAGTGATCAATTCTCAACCTCCAGAGCATCTGCAGCAGCTTGATTGATAATGAGACCTGTAGCTTGGCCCCCAGATCAAAGTTGATGCTGCAGAGCCTAACCAAATTGGATCTCCAGGACTCCTTTCAATAGCAAAACAAAATATCGATGCTTTACATTTTCTGTATTTTTTACTAACTCTCTTCCATACAAATAAGCAGAAGTGTTTCTTGGAAAAAGATACCTAATGTGTGTGTCTATGCTCTGAGCACTGGGGGATATTATCCTTCCCACAGCAGCCTGGGGGTACATATATCACCTTTAGCAATGCTAGGTAGGACTGCTGGGAGTTGTAATTTGGCAACATCTGATGTGTCCCAGTTTCACCATCTCTACGCTATAGACTTGGATGGAATGTAGGACATGCAAAATGTCCTATCAGGTACAGATCTGATGCAAGATCATACACAGGATATTCTCAGAAATGAAATAATAAGCATTGTTGACAATATAAAACCCAGCTCTTAATCATTTCATGTATTCGCTGGGCTACACTTTGATGGAGATGGTGGCAGGTCCTAGCACAATTCTGTTCCTGAATGTAGCATATTTTTTCCCTTATTCATTTATGTGAGAAAATGTACCTGGTATTGTACGTTATACTGCTTATAGACCAAACAGAGCAGAAACTTAGCCAAGCCACCCATTCTTAATAGTTCTGTTTTTCTGAGGTCCCTTTCTCCTTTCCTGCATATTCTTCTTGGTTGCATCTTTTTACTTGTTCCCCAAAAATTAATTGGAGCTATTTGGATACAAGCTACTTCTACATGCCCTGAGCACAATAATATGACATAGATGCAGAATTCTGAAACTAGCTTTTATATTCATATTGGAGGGGAGGGGAGAACAAGAGGAACTGGAGTTAAAAATATAACACTGTCATATGTCACCCTTCTCCAACTCAGTGCCCTCAAGATGTGTTGAACTCCAACTGCCATAATCACCCATAAGGATTTGTTCTCAGTCTAATAATGGTTATTGAGGAAATAAACTTGTGGAAGCTCATCCATTATCAATAAAGAGACCTGTCTCTTTGCCTATTCTCAGAAAGAATTTCTTATGGATTTCTAATGCCCTAGAAGATCAATCAATTCTAGGGTGAAATATGTAGTTTAGTTGCTGAAATTCGTGTAACTCTGTGCCTTTCACATGCTTGGGAAAAGGGTTGCCTTTGGTTTGAGTTCACTGCCCCAGAACCTGACACCACCCAGCCAAGATGATCATTATCCCATGTCCTCTTTCCCTGGCCTGGAAATTATGGGAGTTGAAATCCAACGCATATGGAGACCATCAGATTGGGAAAGGCTGCTCTTAATTTTTAGTGCACGGTGTGTTGAATACTTTACTTTCTGAAATGCAGTAAATAACCAGTTTGCATAGGTATTTCCCTACGTACTTTGAGCAAATGAGAATCAACTTCCATAACAGTTTTCCCTCCTGGGTCACAGTAAATCTGTAATAACCTACACACAGTTCTTGGGATTGGGAAAGAGGCACAGTAAGTCAAATATATATGAAATAAGAATGAGTGTACACCTTCCTTATTTTAAGTTCTCAGACTAGAGAGACAAGTTGTGACATGTCATGCATTCAGACTAGAAGTTCCATGACTCAGGTTCCCTGACTCCGTGACTTGTCTCTCTAATCTTAGATCTTAAAAAAAAGAAGACATTCATTGCTTAGTTCATACCTCCCTTCTTACAACTTTGCTGTCAGTGAGGTCACTACAGCTCATACAGCAGAGTCCACTGTAAAATGGTCAACAAAGTCCATAGCCTGAGAGTTTCAATTCCTGCTAAAAGAAGTTGGACTGTGTAAGATCTAAAATTGATGAGTTCCAATAACAATGAAACCAGTCATATACTGCCTCCTATTGGTCAGTAAGTGGTAAAAATACCACAGGCATATAAGAAATACTTTGCCTTTGCATCTTCTAGTCTGTAACAATGAAAATTTTGCTCTTGTATAAATACTTAAATCATAATGGAGAGGTTTGATGGAGAATTCCCACCCACAGAATATACATCTCATGGTCCTTCAGACAGTTGAAACATATATAATAAATATGGTCACATCTTCCCTTTGCAACAACAGATTCTCTGAGTGTGCATGTTCTGTTTTCCAGGCATACTGTAGCTGTTTTTAATGAAGTAGGTGATTTATTTTGCTAATTATTTTTGGAAAGTTTCATTAATTAACAGACTTCACATACATGTGCTATCTAGCCTGTCTCACACAGGTGATAGTCTTTAATTTTAAGCCAAATGTGTGTTTATCCTTGAAAACTAATTTCAAGAAAAGCACAAAGATGAAATAAGGATGTATTTATTACAAAATTGGGTATTTTTTACTACTTACATACACTGTGAAGTTTAGGAACAATCCATTTCACACAGGTCTTCGTTTTCCTGTTAGTTTCAGAAGCTGTTAATAGGGATGTCTTCTTGTTGTAGTTATGGATCATGCCCCCTTGAGAGTAGTTTGTTTGGGTTAGAGCTTGATGTGGTTATGACTCCCTCCCTCCCTCTCTTATTCTGACTCCCCCTCTTTCCTCAAGTGTGTTGCTGGAAGAACATCTTAGCCAGCAGTATGACTTGATCCCTTTCAGGGAACATTTGAACAGGAGTTGGCCCATAGGCTATATACAGCCCTATGGCTAAAGGTTGCCCACCCTTGATCCATACTGTGAATCCTGTGCCTCACTGTGCTCTGTATGGCTTGCTCCAAGATTACATAAGGGAGATTTCAACTTACGATGGTTGAGTTCAACCCCTGATGACTACATGAACACGAGTGCATTAACCAGGTCTTCCTCTGTTTAGCTTCTCCACAATCATCTACAATCAGCTAGATGTTGCTGCTTGTAGTGATGTATATCCATAAAGGTTTTGCAAATGATGCTTATGATTGACTCCTTTCAGAATTGCAATATTCAAATATTAAATATCACACTTTGGAAATGTGAAAAATTATTTCCCATTCTGCTCAGCATTATCTCTGATGATAGAAGTATATCACTATATATGCTATAGTCGAAATGAATATCTCATTCAAAATTACACTCTTTTCAGTGGGACTTCCTCTTTTCAGAGCAACACAGAAGTCTCACCTCCTTTGGGACTTGGTGAAAGTGGCTCGTGTTATGAAAGTGAGAAGGAGGAGTGTGTAGGTGTTTTCATTGCATTGGCCTCCTAGTATTATTGCCACTTAACTTTTCAGATGTCTGGTATTAACTGCATAAAATTAATTTTAATTAATTATATGAAGTTGACTGTTTCTTCTTTAAAAGTACCAAGTGGCTTTTAAAGATTCAGAATCTAATTACTATATTTCTGATCAAATCTCTAGTGAATTACAATATTTTTAGTCACTTTTGTCCAAGCCATGTTATGTTCGCCACCTACTGGTTATTGCCTATCTCCTTGGGTTATATCCCAATAAAAATCCATCCTTTTTACCATCTCAAATTGTAACATGGGTATTTGGAAGGCTAGTCTCCATGTGAATTCTACACGTTGGCAACTTACACATTACGGGTGTAGTGTGTGCATGTAAGTTTTCTAACTAAAGAAAACAAGGGCTTCTCTGGAAACGGAACAGCACAGAAATTGGCTGGCCAGTGTGATAATAGTATGTCAACTCAAATATGAGCAATACTTTTGGGTTAAAAGGGGAAAGTCGTTTGCAAATCAGAGTGCAGTGATGGCAACTGTACTTCCTAGCTTGGCTTCAAAAATGTCTTCATATGGTTTTATTAAGTTGTTAGTCTAAGACGAAAAATGTTTATGAAAGGTATGGATTTCCACTTGGCATGACCTGTATTACAAAATGTTTTTAGCCTAACAGAACTTCAGTTCCTCCAAAGAATACTGGGAATTATATTTTGGGT